CATAAGCTCCTTTATATAGTGTGGGGAATTAGGGTTACATCCATGTAAACCCTAATACCCATGACTCTTCCTTTCCAAGGATCCATGGGTTAAAAGCTCCATGGACTATCCATGGACTCCCATGCATGCCAAGCCCATTCCAAATGAGTATTAGCCCACACTTATATAAATACAAGAGCCCATATTTAATTAGTCACCTTTTTTATCACCAAATTAATTCTAAATTAATTTATGATCAAATACTAATTAAATAATATGATTTCATAGTAATGTATTATAACTTATAATATATTAACAAATCATAAACATACAATTCTCAAAGGTTTAACCATACAATTGTTCGGGTGAAGTGCAACCCAAATGAACCATACCGGATCGGGTCAAGTATATACCAAATAAAGTTATGGACTTAGACACCTTATCCAACAGTCTCCCATTTGGATAAGTCTAATAACTATATTTGCCTATATTTACTTCAGGAACCAACTGGCAATCATATCTCTTAAAACTCTGTTGAACTATGAAGCGCCATTTTAGATAAGTGATCATATAATCCTCTGTTCTCAAGATATCAGTCGGACAAATACATGGAACAACTTCGTACTTATTGTCCAGCAGTTTGTTTCCCGATTTCCGATTTGTTTGACATAGAACTAAATTGAACACATCAATTAGGTTATGACCGGGCCCAGTACATAGGTCAAAACAAAATCATCGAGGGGCCCAGATATCGCTTCTAATCCTCCAAGAACTAGAAGGAACAGATAAACTTCGACTCATATACTTGTTCTACTACTTGTTGAATTATACACAAAAGCACATTTTATAACATCAAGTTACTGATGCGTTTTCGTGCAATCAATGCACAACCAACTCATAGGCAACAACTCATATCTCTAGGTTTGAAGACTTATATGATATTACCGTCTCACGATCACTCGAGATAAATTCCATGAAGTGATGCAAGTGAGCGTGGGTTTATTCCAATACTCAGAACTTATGAGCACTCATGAATGTTGTAGCAACCATTGCTATGGCTAAACACCTTTAGTCATCTACAAGCCCAATTCATGACAGTCTTAATTCATACCTACTTCCGACGTATGACCGACTGTGGAAGTTTGAATAAAGTAATTTATTATGGAAGTCAAAACATGCAAAGTTGAAAGAATAGTAAATAATTGACAAAAGACGGTAACCCCTTACTCAATAAACACACCTTTTATTCATCATCAAATGTCGATTACATTTTACAAGTCTCAGAAATAGCTATCTAATCTGTAAAACTAATATCATCCTTCAGCCCGATGCGTCTCGCATGCTATAAATGCCTAACCCTTGTCAGTCCCTTCGTGAGGGGATCTGCATGATTCTCTTCTGATGATATCCTCTTTGCCACGAGGAGTCCTTCTTCTATCTTATGTCTTGTGAAGTGATATTTTCTGTCAACGTGTCTAGATCTGCCATGATCTCTCGGTTCCTTGGCTAAGGCAACCGCACTATTGCTGTCATAGAAAATCTCCATGGGCTCCTTAATAGCTGGTACAACTCCAAGGTCTCCGATGAAGTTCTTCAGCCATATCGCCTCCTTTTCCGCTTCACTCGCTGCTATGTACTCTGATTCACAGGTCGAATCAGCTACCGTCTCCTGCTTGGAACTCTTCTAAGTGATTTCCCCTACATTTAGAGTAAAGACCCAGCCCGGCTGAGAGCGGACGTTATCCCTATCAGTCTGAAAGCTAGCATCACTATACCCTACTACTCTCAAGTCATCACTCCCACCAAGGGTAAGGATCCAATCCTTAGTCCTCCACAGGTACTTGAGAATATTCTTTACCGCAGTCTAGTGAGCCTTGCCAGGGTTCCCCCTGATATCTGCTGACCATGCTCAAAGCGAAGGCCACATCAGGGCGGGTACAAGTCATAGCATACATGATCGAGCCAACAGCGGAAGCATATGGTAATCGACTCGTCTCAGCTATCTCAGCCTCTGTACTCGGGCTCTGAGCCTTGCTCAGTTTGACATTGATTTGGATCGGTAATTCTCCTTTCTTGCCAATTCTGCATGTTGAACCTTTTCAACATCTTATCCAAGTAGGTACTCTGACTAAGTCCAATTAGTCTTTTACTCCTGTCTCTTAATATCCTTATCCCTAGGATATAGGCAGCCTCTCCAAGGTCCTTCATAGTATAACACTTCCCAAGCCAGAACTTCACCTACTGCAAGGTTGTGATGTCATTTCCTATGAGCAGTATGTCATCCACATACAACACCAAGAAGCTAACTATACTCCCACTAGCTCTGACATATACACAAGACTCATCTTCACTTCTCGAAAAGCCAAACTCTTTGACTTTCTCATCGAAACAAAGATTCCATCTGCGAGGTGCTTGTTTCAATCCATAGATGGATTTCTCAAGCTTACATACTCTATTAGGATACCCTGTGCTTACAAAACCCTCTGGCTGACTCATGTAAACATCCTCAGCCAACTTCCCATTAAGGAACGCGGTTTTGACATCCATTTGCCATATTTCATAGTCATGAAATGCAGCAATGGCTAACATAACCCTAATAGACTTAATCTTTGCTACTGGTGAAAAGGTCTCATCATAATCAACTCCCAGAGTTTGAGAAAAGCCCTTTGAAACTAGTCGTGCCTTATAAGTATGTACATTACCATCCATGTCGGTCTTCTTCTTGAAGATCCATTTGCACCTGACTGTCTTACGACCTGGTACATTGTCAACCAAGTTCCAAACTTTGATTGTAGCTGTTAGGTTCATCCAGACTTACCAGTGTGCTATCACTGATAAGTGTATCACCTTCTGCAGTAATATGGAAGCCATAGTAATGCTCAGGTGCATTCCTAACTCTCGTGGAACGCCTCACATGTACATACTCGTCAGTCGGATCAACAGGAGTTTCCTCCTCAGGTTGATTGGTAGGGTTTGAGGTTCTTTCACCACTTGACTCTTGAATTTCTTCAAGGTCGATTTTCCTCCCACTGTTTCCTTGGCTCATGAACTCTCTTTCACGAAAGACCCCTCTCCTTGCCACAAAGACCACATTCTCATTGGGTCTGTAGAAGAGGTAACCAAAGGATTTTTGTGGGTAGCCGATAAAAATACACCTCTCACTTCGAGGTTCGAGCTTATCGTGAGTCTCGCGCCTCACAAAAGACTCGCAACCCCAAATCTTGATGTGGTCCAAGTTGTGAATTTTCCCAGTCCACATCTCATGAGGTTTTTTTGGCAACCTTCTTTGTAGGGACTAGATTAAGGATATGGGCGGCAGTCTCTAAGGCATACCCCCAAAAAGAGATTGGTAGCGAAGCTCGACTCATCATGGAACGAACCATGTCCAACAAGGTCCGATTACGCCTCTCATCCACACCATTCAATTGTGGTGTCCTGGGAGGTGTCAATTGTGAGACAATCCCACACTCCTTAAGATAGTCGAGGAACTATGTACTAAGATACTCACCACCTCGATCGGATCGAAGCATCTTAATGTTCCTGCCCAATTGATTTTCTACTTCCTGTTTAAACTCTTTAAACCTTTCAAAAGTCTATGACTTATGCTTGATTAAGTAGACATAACCATATCTACTATAATCATCAGTGAAAGTCAAATAATAGCGATTAGCATCCCTTGTGGCGGTTTTGAAGGGTCCACATACATCAGTATGTATAAGGTCCAATAAACTCTCACCCCTTGCACAAGTACTAGTGAAGGGTGATTTTGTCATTTTCCCAAGCAAACAAGATTCACAATTATCGTCTGACTTCAGGTCAAATGACTCCAAGACTCCATCCTTTTGGAGTTGGCCTATGCGTTTCTTGCTTACATGTCCAAGATGACAATGCCACAATGATGCTTTATCCAAGCTAGTAGAGGAATCAATACACAACACATTATTTCCTAGGTTATCTACAATAAACACAGTTTCATACACACCATCATAAGGTAATGCTTTAAAATAAAGAACATTATTAAAGAAAGCATTAATACCACCACATTCATTATCAAACGAAAAGGTAAACCCTTGTTTGTACAAACCATGAAAGGAAATAATATTCCTCGCCATTTCAGACGAGTAAACACCTTTATTCAAATCTGACTTTAACCCACTACTTAGTAACAAAGTATAAACTCCAATCTTGGTAACAGGTGAAACCTTCCTATTCCCCATGATTAAGTTTATCTTCCCGTGCTCCACATCCTCACTTCTTCTTAGGCCCTGCAAATCAGAACATATGTGAATACCACAACCTGTATCAAGGACCCAAGAGTTAGAATATGGTGAGTTATTAGACAATATAGTGTAAATACCTGCATGGGATGGTTTCACTTTCCCATCCTTGACATCCTGCAAGTACTTTGGGCAGTTTCGCTTCCAGTGCCCCTTATTCTGGCAATAGAAGCAATCAGCATCCTTAGGGATGGCAGAAGGAGTAGCAGAACCACCTTTGGTTCCACTTGATGAGGAGCCATCAAGAGACTTTCCCTTGGTACCCTTCGAAGGGTTCTTCCTCTTCTTCCCATTGCCTTGTATGATAGCCAAAACAGGGGTTGCTGTAGGAGTAGGAGTAACAACCGACTTACCTTTAAGACCACTTTCGGCGGTCTTCAGAAGTCCTTGAAGCTTGCTGAGTGTAACTTCCTCCTTGTTTATGTGGTATGCCATGCGGAATTGATCATAACACGAGGGTAGGGAGTGCAAAATGATATCAATTGCCAACTCCTCTGGGAAGTTCACATTCAGTTTCAACAAACGGTCCACATACCTTTGCATTTTCTGCATGTGGCCCGTGATGGGTTCACCATCCTTCATGCGGGTTGTTATCATGGAGGAGATTATTTCATACCGCTCTTGACGAGCACTCTGATGGTACCTTTCCATCAAGTCCTGGTGCATATCAAAAGGGTAATAGTCCTCATAGGACTTTTGGAGCTCGACTGTCATCGTGTCCATCATGATGCATACCACTTTGGTGGAATCTGTCTCATGTGTCCTGTATTCAGCGATCTCCTCAGGAGTAGCAGTAGTCTCATCGAGTTCCTTAAGCTCCTTGTCGAGGACATATTCCTTGTCCTCGTAACGAGTAACCATCCCGATGTTCCGGATCCAATCCATAAAGTTGGAACCATCGAAGATGACTCTCCCACAAAGGTTCATGAGAGAGAAGGAGCCGGTAGGGTTAGAACCCGAAACATTGTTGGAAGACATCTGAAAAGAAGAAAGACAAGTTTAGATTAGATATATAGAGTCCTTAATAAGACACCCAAATGTAATATTAAGGCTAGGACCCAATACAATATATTATAACTTAGAAGAGGGATGTCGTAATCTAAGCTGTAACATATTTGAAGGTAGGTGAATGACGATTCACCAATTTCCACCATGAAAACGAAATAAATTATTAGGTTTTAATTGGTTTTTAAAATTCCTAGATTCTTTTGAGATTCATTGAACTTTTCAATGACATGTTTCAATCTCGATTGTGCCCTTCAAGTTTTGTGACTGGGATGCCGAGGATCACAAAACAAGGTGTGAATAACCATGCAAATTCACTTGGTGCCATTAATATTATCACCTAATCAATGTGCCGGTTAACCACACGTGCTCCACCGATCTATGATAAACATTAAGTCACCCTTTGTTATCCTTACTAGTCCAAGTTAGTGTATCGGTTAACCACACACGCTCCACCAACGACTTGGTAAGGTACAAAGTGTGAATTTCATGGGTTAGCACCATTTTCACATTTTCCTAAAGTAACTAAGATTGAGAATTTATAAAAACATTTAGTTACTTTATAATAATCATTATACTTTTAATGAGAATTAAAGTCATTGTCCTAGCCGTTCGGCTAACGACCCTCCACCAGTCAAGGAAGCGGTGGGTGAGAATGGACACCCATTAAGCTGCCATTTTATAGGCAACAACCTTATACCCCCCTTATAGACTGACTTCGTGAATGAGGCCTACTAACGGTAAAACGACTTGATCTTATACATATATATATAAATATTAACCATTAATATTATAATAGTATAAGGGTTGAATTTTAACTTTTAAAAACCTAAGGGTTGGAATTAAATGTGTGTGTCTTTATAAATTCCAAAACTTGAGGGCAAGTTTTGAAACTATTCAAAACTTTTCATTTCATAACTTATGAGTTAATGGTTCATAAAAGTGAAGACTCTTCATTTTTATGTAACTTATGTGTTTTAAATGTACATTAAAGAAAGTGACCTTTGGAAATCCATAACTTGAGGACAAATTATGGATTCCATTAAAACACATAATTAATCAAGAATTAATCATTAAACAATTTAGCAAGTAATTCCTATGATCTAAAAATAACTCATAAGAACATGAATATCATATCAAAACTTCAAGAATCATATGAACACATATAAAACATGGAATTTTGATATTAGCCATTGTAAATGGATTAGCATAACCATTACACCATCTAAAACAAGTTTTAAAACACCAAAACAGTTTAGGGTAATGTTTCTAGTCAATTTCCAGCAGCAAAAGTCGAAAAACTGCAGTCAGAGCCTCCTACTCGTCGAGTGCAGGAACCTACTCGACGAGTAGGATGAATTTTCACTTGGACTCGTCGAGTCCCCCCATGGACTCGGCGAGTTCACTGCCCAGACAGCTCAATTTTTCGATTTCTCAACAGTTTGCATCAAGTATTCAAGAAAACAACCTGGCTCTGATACCACTGATGGGTTTTGAGCATCCTAACACTCCTATGGTGTACATGCAACCCTAGAAACCTTGGATCTATGTTTTAATATGAATACATGCAAATTTGTTTTTCCAAGGTTCATAACCTATCTAGCATGGCATGGGGAACTTTAAACATAAAATCTAGAAGAATTACATACCTTTCAATAGTGAGTTGATTCCTTGGAGTTTGAGAGCCAAGCACCAATAATGTGGATGCCTCAAATGGAAGTCACAAACCACCACAAACTTTGGAAAAACTATGAGAGTGTATGTTTTGCTTGTAGAAATCGGCCACCTTCTTACACACACACTTAGTAGTGCCATTTCAAGCATCATAAGCTCCTTTATATAGTGTGGGGAATTAGGGTTACATCCATGTAAACCCTAATACCCATGACTCTTCATTTCCAAGGATCCATGGGTTAAAAGCTCCATGGACTATCCATGGACTCCCATGCATGCCAAGCCCATTCCAAATGAGTATTAGCCCACACTTATATAAATACAAGAGCCCATATTTAATTAGTCACCTTTTTTATCACCAAATTAATTCTAAATTAATTTATGATAAAATACTAATTAAATAATATGATTTTGATAGTAATATATTATAACTTATAATATATTAACAAATCATAAACATACAATTCTCAAAGGTTTAACCATACAATTGTTCGGGTGAAGTGCAACCCAAATGGACCATGCCGGGTCGGGTCAAGTATATACCAAATAAAGTTATGGACTTAGACACCTTATCCGACAGTTAGATCTTTCTCATGATCGTCTATGGCGACACATTATATGTGGGTAGGGTTGAGGCGGTCCTGCTCTATGCAGTAGGCCAAGATACCCAGTGCGGGCCGAATGAAAGTCGTAGGCACGGAGGCTCAAGAGGAGTGGTAGGGTTGAGGCGGTAGGCCAACAAACCCTGAGAGTTTCAACTTGATGGTTGAGTTGATTCGACATGTTGGTATTTCAATCTATGGTATTCCATCCCGATGATGACCGGACCCTATGATCAATTGGACTTGGCATATTGGTATTCCCACCCGAAGGGTGGTATGGGATAGATATGAATGTCGTACTGGTGGGCCGGTAGTGGTAGGGTATGTTGTTGGTGGTAATCGCTTGCGGGACTGTATTCTATGGAAGTGGTGGATGGCAAGGAATGACATGGTAAATTATCGTCGGTATTAAGTGGGCATCTTTTTCTGATGGTATATTAGATGACATGTTGTGCTTGATCGGGCTGAGGCAGTCCTGCTCTATGCAGTAGGCCAGGATACCCGGTGCGGGCCAACGGTGAGTCATAGGGGCAGGGATTCAGCAGAATATGACCCGTGGTTCTATTTCGGGTAGGAACTTCAGGTTCCCAGGGCTGAACAGTCCGTTAGTAGTGATGGGAAGAGAGCTAGCGATGGAGAGTATGAGTGGTCAGCCAGGGAGTCAGACCGAATCCAGGTTTCCAGATTGCGAGTTTTAGGTGGTGAAGGATTGTGTGCCGCATGGGATTGTGGAATCGTCTTCTCTGGAATGAAAAGATTCCCATTGGGTTTGGTCTCCTTCGAAAGTCGTCGGATGTCATGGTTGTGGAGGTGCCCCTCAGGATGTCGGGTTACCAGGGATGGTAAGGAATGATTTCGAGGACGAAATCGAATTTAAGTGGGGGAGAGTTGTAACATCCCAAGTTTTGTCATTTGTAGTCCCTGGGGATGGAAGGGTAAAGCCATGAAGAGCCTAAGGGCTAAACTGTAGTTATGGGACCAGGAGGAGTACGCTACACGTACATAAGGGTAGGTTGAGCGTACTAGGGCGCGCCCTAGTACGCTGGGCGTACACTTGTGTACGTTGGGCGTACTCATAACAGAAGGAAACCATAATATCTCGGGTTGGGGAATATATAAACATCCTTATGGCTCATTTTCTCTCCTCCTTCTCAGCCTCCATCTTCCAGAAACGTCCCCAAACCCTAGTTCTTGTGTGTGAGAGTGAGTTGGTGGGTATTTTGAGCTCTTGAAGGTGAAGCCATTGCAACAAATAGTTGAAGAGGGATATTGGCTTGTAGATCTGAAGTTGTGTTGTGCCCTAGAATCTCCAGAAGGTAAAAATCTTCAAACTTTATGCTTGTAGGTCATAGATATAGCCTTTCTAGCATTATGGAACCATTTCTTTTCCCAAAAACCCCAATATGGTGCATGACGCATTTTGGACGAGATAAGTTGTCCTTTCTGGACCTTGGAGAGGTCTTAAGTGATAAAAATGAGGTCCCAATGGCTTAAGTTGTCCCATGTATGTAGTAGAAGGGTCTTAATGGATCAAGACCTTGGATTAAGAGCTTTCTGGACGTCCAAAGTGATAAAGTTCGAGACTTTATAGTACTATGGCACATTTGGTCGATGGATCTGGAGTTTGGGCTTAAGTGCTTATGCCATTAAGCACTTATTAGGGTTTTTGGTGAAACCCAACGTAAATCCAGTACGCCCAGCGTACCGGGTCAACCACCCCAATGGTCGTCAACATCAGGACGAGTACGCCCCGCGTACGTCCTCTGTTGGGCCTTTGGCTTTTAGGCTTCGGATTTTGGGCTGTTTGTGGACTAGTTAGATTTGGGCCTTTGCTGGACTTTATGAATATTATGATTTGGGCCAAGTGTTGATAATGGATCTTGGAATTTGGCCCAATTAGGGAGTTGGGCCTAATTTGGTAAATTGGGCCAAGAATGGGCCTTGCATAAAGACTTTCAAGGTTATGGAATTGGAATTGGGCCTTGGCCCAATAAAAGAAAATGGACATGATGGATTGTGTGGACCCCTTAGTCAAGATTGTTATGTTGTATGACTTGGTATTTATTATGTGATAGTTCGGGATTTCCGGTGAGATAGCGGTTCGAGAGTTCGTTTCTTCAGTTCGGATCGGCTTTGCGAGGTGAGTTATCCTCACTATATCAACAGGGTCTAAGGCACCAAGGCCGGCCCTTATGGATTTGTATTCAGATTATGACATGTTATGTTATTGATTTACATCCTGGTAGTTAGGATGAGGATATGCTTATGCTTAGTGACCTGGTTAGGTCGGTGACTTGGTTATAGGATGATGTTATGCTATTATGATCTATTAGATCGGTATCCTGGTACATAGGATGATGCTTTGTTAGTGACCTGGTTAGGTCGGTATCCTGGTTATAGGATGTTGCTATGCTATATGATCTGTTAGATCGGTTTGTTTGTCTATAGACTGTTATGTGATTATCTGTTATATGTGCACATGGTTATTTGATTGGGGGTTGGGTTGAGGTGGGTCCTGCTTTGTGCTGTAGGCCAACATTCCCAGGGCGGACCGGATAGACTGTAGACCCGGGAGGGCACATAGTCAGGTCGAAGGCCCGACGAGCGGTCCGGATAGGCTGAAGGCCCCGAGAGGGAGGTCCAGACGTGCCAAGGCTCGGAGAGTGGGCCAGATAGACTGAAGGCCCGGTGTGGGCAGTCCAGTCATACTGTAGACTCAGAGAGTGGACCAGGTGGATTGAAGGCCCGGTGCGGGCGGACTAGTCACACTGTAGACTCGAGATACATGGTTGTTCTGTATTTGTTGATATGATATGATTATGGTTATATGAGGTTGGTATTTTGGGGGTAACTCACTAATCTTTCGAGCTTACAGTTTCAGTTTATTGTTTCAGGTTCAGCGGATGACCGTGGGAAGGCGAAGGCATGACCGTACACTTCCCCGATTGATGATTATGATTTCTGGGAACTCTGATGCTTAAACTATTTTGAAAACAAATTGTAATAACTGAATGGTTTTAAATGTTTGAAAAGGTTTTAAATTGTCTCGAATTTTATGGACGTTACAATGACATTCCAAGGAAAAGACCATGTAGGTAGCGCACGCCACTTGGTTGTAAGACCCTGTGGGTAGCCCATGGAATTCCAAGGAAAAGACCATGAGGGTAGCCCATGGCAACTGTATGTATGGTGTTTGGTATTTTTGGGAAACTCGCTAAGCTTTGTGCTTACGGTTTTGTAGTTTAATATTTTTAGGTACTTCTAGTTCGAAAGGGAAGGGTCCAACATGATCGCACAAACATCCCCTTTATGATTTTTGCATCGGTGATTACTCTACTCAGATGTTTTGATACATTGTTTTATGATGATTTGAGACACTTGATGTATGTTTTGATGATTTAAAAATGAAAAATTTTATCACTATTTTTGGGTTGTTATATCTGGAGTTCGAGTTATAGATCACCGATTATGGAAAAAGTTTTAGGGCTGTTGTTCAAATCGTTTTAGATGCAAGGATTATACTGACTCTTTAATCTCGACAATGTAGGTATGATTTCTTCCTCATTGAATGTATTTTAGAGTACAGATGTTGTGTGTTCATTTGGGGCTAAACCATAGTCATAAGGGTTAGGTGTGTCGATCGAAAACCCTAAAACCCTAGAGTTGAAATGTTGTTGAGAATTCACTATTTTGTCCATGTTTTGTAAAAATTCTAGAAAAATCATGGATGGTTAGATTTAGGACCCGTCAATTCCCAAAGTTCAGGTTTTGAGTCTAGTATGTCTCTGATTTTTTTCCTTGACATGATGATGCCTCTAACTAGGGTGAAAATCGCCATTTTCACTAATTGGTTTGAATTTAGCTACATTGATAGGCTATCTTGTAAAATTCATAGTAAATTATAAGAAAATCGTATAGACTTGTACAAGTACTCCCTCGAAAGCTAAATTACTGAAATTTTGGAATATGGAAAAATATTGCAGCTTTGGCAGGATTTGGTAGTGTTAAATCGGTCTTGAACAGGCTGTTGTTTCATATCAAAATCTGAAAAATGAGTCTGGTAGTTTATTTATATGTTTAGGGTAACGACTAGTCCTTTTTAATATTGATTGTTATTATAGGAATGTTTCAAAGTGACTTCGTGTAATTGGATTCATGGGCTACTGTTTGAGGTCTACTATGCAGTTCAAGGTGAGTTTCTTACTACGTTATACTGATGTGTATATTCTTTGCTTAGAACATGTGTGATATTAATATGTATGATTTGGTACTAAGCAGTGTAGAGTCTAGTATGTGAATATTGTTACTTGTTATTTCTGGATTGCTTTGTGCTGGAAAACTAACTGTGTGGTATGTATGAATTGCCTTGTGTTGGATGACTACCTATATGGTATGTATGGATTGCTTTGTGTTGGATGACTACATGTGTGGTGTGTATGGATTGCCTTGTGTTGGATGACTACATGTGTGGTATTTCTAGATTACCTTGTACTGGATGTTTACATGTGTGGTATGTTTGGATTATAAATTGGTGGCATGTATGTTTTATCTGCGTGATAGGTGTAAAGTATGTATACTGATGTATGATGTTGTGTTGAAATTCACTAAGCTTCATGCTTACCCTCTTTTAGGATTTGCAGGTTCTAGTAAAGGAAAGGGCGTAGCTTGACTGTACACATGATGGGACTTGATGATTATTTATAAATGAGGAACTGTATAGACTTTATTTACGTTGTTTTGATTATTGGTTTATGAAACATAATAGAATTCATTATTATGAGTGTTTTCGGTTAAACTTAACGGTTTTTAGTTAAGTCATGAAACAATTGAGATTTTATATTAAATAAACGACTTTTTAAAAGTCCAAATTTATTGTAATTTTTGGGACGTTACACATGGGATATGTTGATATATATATATATATATATATATAAACAAACAAAATAAAATAAAATAAAGAGGCAGCTTTGGTCTTCACGAGATGCATGAAAAAAAAAGCAGGGGAATAAATTCTTTTTACATGTATGCATTGAACACAAATTAATGGGTTTACCAACCCGTTGATAGCCGAATAACTTCTTGAACCCGCTAGACCCGCCGGTCACGTAACCACAACTCGACGATACTACTGATACCGCCTTAACCCGCTGCACGAACCGTTCTCCCTAAGGTTTTATATTTTTAAGACAAATTTCAATAATGATATGTATGGCACACACAAAAGATTAATATTTATTTTTAACAGAGTTAGATAAAAAGATTGTTTTTGGACGTTTTTTCAAAGTTAGGGATCATCTTTATAAGAAATTTTTTGTAAGAACCAAACTTGATATATTTTGCCAAACAAAAGGACAATTTAAGTAATTTTGTCAAACTATAGCAAATGAGAAATCCGTTGGACAAAATTGCAAATAAAAAAGTAAGAAATAATAATGAAAAACAAAATGAGCTGTCGGGCTTTTAGTCTCTTCAGACTTTCACAGTTCACTGTTTCACATATTATAATCGTTCAGATAAGTAGATGACCACTAGCGATAGAAACAAAGAGAAAGAGAGAGCGTACCAAATCCGGCGGAGAGCAGAAAGAGAGTGGACGGAGGTGGTGGTGTGGTGTGGTGCACAAAGGTCTCCGGTCGGAGGAGGTGAGCCGTGATCGGTCCGGCGAACGGCAGAGAAGATAGGGCGAGCGTACGCAGGTGAGCAGCAAGGGGGAGATGAGAGAGAGAGAGAGAGAGAGAGCAGGGAGGTTGTCGGTGGTTCGGCGGATACTTACTTAGATCTGGCATCTGAACCTTTAATTTGGCATCTTTGATAATCTGATAATCGAAATTCAAAACCATTGAATGTTAGAGATGAGTTTGTAATCAAGATAATCCATGGCTCAAAACTAATAATCCTCCGTTTGTGCAGATCATGAGGTGAAAGAAAGCCCTAAATCATGGACGCAAGACGGAATGTCACCAAACGAGGGTTTATTAGGTACACATTTCTTCTACTTCTGATACTCGTGACCCTTTCTTTTATCGCCATCTTCAACCACACCCAATTCCAAAACATATCTTCATTCTTACGACCACTTTGGGACACACCGCCACCTCCATTTCAGTACATACCCCATTACTACGCAGAAAACGCCTCCATCAACAACCTCTGCAACCTCCATGGATGGACCTTAAGCTCTGAACCACGCAACGTCTTCGATGCTATCCTATTCAGCAACGAACTCGACTTGCTTGAACTCAGATGGCGTGAACTTTACCCTTATGTCACCAAATTCATAATCCTCGAATCAAACATGACCTTCACCGGAATCCCCAAACCTCTCACCTTTGCTTTAAATCGCCACCGTTTTGCTTTCGCTGAAGAAAAAATAATTTACGGTTTCCTCCCCGGAGACGTCCCACCTTCCGATGTCCATATCGACCCCTTTTTGATCGAGTCACATCACCGGAGCATCATGAACGAGTTAATCCGACGGTCTGGAATCTCCGACGGCGATCTTCTGATTGTATCAGACACCGACGAGATTCCGAGTTCACACACTGTTAATCTTCTCCGGTTGTGCGACGGGTTGCCGTCGGTGTTGCATCTCGAAATGAGAAATTACCTTTACTCGTTTGAGTTTCCGGTTGATTACAATAGCTGGCGGGCCACCGCTCATATATACAGCCGGTGGAGTCGTTACCGCCACTCCCGCCAGACGGATCTGATACTCTCCGACGCCGGATGGCATTGCAGCTTCTGTTTCCGGCACCTGAGTGATTTCGTTACAAAGATGACGGGGTATAGTCACGCCGATCGAGTGAAGAGAAAAGAGTATTTGGATTACTCGAGGATTCAGCGTAAGATTTGTGGTGGAGATGATTTGTATGATATGTTGCCGGAGGAATTTAGTTTTAAGAAGTTGATCGGAAAAATGGGGTCGGTGCCTCGTTCGTCGTCGGCGGTTCATCTTCCGGGATATTTAATAGAAAACGCCGAGAAGTTTAAGTTTCTTCTTCCAGGTGGTTGTCAGCGTTCACCGGAGTGAGTTTTATTTGCCGTATTTTGAGAAGTAATGAAGCAAATTCAGTTTATTGTTTATAGATCCTTTAAAGATTTGGTAATTTTAAGGAATAACAATGTTAACATTTTGGTAAAATATATACTCTACTTATTACTAAAAATGTCAAACAAATGATGATATAAAGTAAGATACCTTCGACCAAATAGACCAATTTCTACTTTCATAAAGTAGTAGATATCTACATCAATTAAGTACGGATATTGAAAAATATGGAAACTGAATAATAAAATCCGAACCGACTTGGATTATTTAGTTTTTTCTTAATTTGGTTTGGTAACCAAATAAGGATCACTTTGTTTGGTTAGGTTTTGGTAAAATTTCACAGTAAACACGATTAACCAAAAATAAGTCATTAATTGTTAATGGGAAAGGAAGTGATTCGCATATAATAGTTTTATTCATACATAACAATTTATGATTTATACAGTTGTGTAATATAATATTTTAAAACATTATTTGTGTAATACGAAAAACCGTTGTGTACGAATTATCTTTCAAATGGTAAAGCGCATCATCTGAACGACATATCTCAACCTGTCTCAAGAACCACAAAAAAATACTGATATTTTCGGTATGTCAGTTCTTTATGTGTGGTTTATAGTGAGGATTAAGGCTATGTTGACAGTCTAATTAAAATGAAAACCTAGTTGCATACTCTTAATCTAGTTCATAAGAATTGGTGTTTGTTAATAACTAATTGATAAACTAGCTAAAACATATAGATTAAAATTAAATGACATGTAGAGAAATTATTCACTAGATAATTATAAGGCGATGCTCGACATTAATAACCCTTAAAGAATGGTTGATTTTTTTTATGAAAAATACATCACGCACGGATGTACTTAGGATTATATGGGAAATACATCACGCGCGAATGTACTTGAGATCATATGGGAAAACAAGTATGGTGAGAACGTGAAAAACTAGTTTGGAGCATGGGATTGAAAAGAAAATCAACCATTCTTGTGAGTATAGTTAAACTCGTACAACTCGAGTCACTTAACACCCAAAAGAGTTGCCTCGTTAGGCTGGCTCGATTTTGTATGTGACTAGGTCAAAATTATTGAGTTACTGCTTGACTCGTGACGAGTCGACTCAACTTGCGACTCATACGAGTCATGTGGCCTATGTATAATCGAGTGGTCCATAAGGTAATTGTGTTATCCATTAGTTAATAACCTTAGTTTTAGAGCAAGATTAGTATAATTGTTTTTGAAAAAAAAAATAGAGAACAAAGGAAGATAGCATAGAAAAAAAAATAGTTTAACATATTAACGGAATGTAAATTAGTACCACATAAAAAGAATGAGATGGGAAGAAGAATGAGAAGGCGAGATACTCTCTTTCTAAGACCCAAAATTTGAAATTAGGTATTGTTTAGTGGTACATTATTGGTCTTTATTAGAGATTAATTGTGCTAACTTTGGTCTGTAAGTATTTAAGTTAATGAGATTATTTTTTTGGGTTAGAATATTGTTATTATTTAATTTATTAAGTTTTTATTTATTTATTTGTATTTACTTAGTGATTTGTTAGTTTATTGAGTTTGTTATTGTTAGTTTTATTCTTTCCTAGAGTATTACAAAATATTTTAGTAAATGCACATTAATACATTAATATTTAACAAATTATATGTTATTATATATGTATTATGTATTTATATAATTTTTTACGATCACGAGTAGTACGATTCAAGTCACGAGTTGGTAGTACGATTCAAGTCATGAGTTGGTAGAGTAACGAATCGATAACTATGCTTGTGTGCATAAAGATATTTCTAAATTAAAGTTATTTATTTATGGATATGATCTGTCTTAGTATATCCGTTTATTTAGGGAAAATAACTTACGGGGTAATCATCTTTATCGTTTTGTTTACATTTATGTAATTTCTTTATTTTTGTACACATGTGACCATTTAACTTGTTATATGTATTCACATATTGTCAATGTCACCGGTTATAGCAAGTGAAAATGGTAATATGTGAACAAAAGTACAAGTTAAATGTTTAATGTGTACGAAAAAAGAAAATTATCCAAATGTGAACAAAACGAAAAGTTACTTACTCTGATAAGTCACTTTCCACACTTTTAATAACGATTTTATTTTTCATATTTGTTTGTATTATTTTTTTCAAACGTTATTTTTAAAATATCCATAATTTTCTAAATATTAATTAAATATTGATCAATTTTAAACTTTACTTTTTAATTAATAAATGTGTTTTTGTTTTGTGAAATATTTTATATAGCCTCTTATAATTTTTTTTCTTTTGTTCTTAAGCATATACAATATTTTTAAAGTAAATAGTATCTAACAATAAAATTAAATATGTAACAATAAGTATGGAGGGTCTTTTAAAAAAAAAAAAAAATATATTACTTAGCAAATAAAAAAATAAAAAAATCTATATAATGTAAATGTTTTAAAATTATTCCATCTTTTTAGTACTTTTTAATTAGAAATTTATAAACTTTAAACTAGTATTTAACGAAAGTATTTTAAAATGTTATAAAAAATATTAAGCTATCATACAAAATCTATGAAACACTTTAAAAATGTTAGTAAAAGAAAGTTTAGAAATAAATGTATGAAAGTTATAAAAAAATTGTATGAAAATGTAAAAGAAACAAGTTAAATACTTGTAAGAAAATTTAAAACATTTATAAAATATTTGGTTTAAAAACATTTGGATTAAAATTATATGAAAGAATAAAAAAAGTTAAAAAAAAATTATAAACAAAGATTTAAAACATCGTATTAGAAAAACCTATAGGAAAAAATATCATAAAAATGTTTTAAGAAATTATAAAAAAAAAATTGTAAAAAAAATTGTTCACATTTAAACAACTTTTTTTTTTGTATATATTTGACCAATTAACTTGTTAAATGTGTTAACATGTTACCATTGTCACCTGGTATAGCAGGTGACAATGGTAATATAGCAGGTGACAATGGTAATATGTGAACACATTTAAAAAGTTAAATGAT